GAGCGAGAAGGGGAAGAGAGAGAGAGAGAGAGAGAGAGAGAGAGAGAGAGAGAGAGAAGAGAAGAGAGAGAGAGAGACTGACTTGTTATTCCATTTATTCATGCATTCATTGGTTGATTCTTATATGTGCCCTGACCAGGGATTGAACCTGCAACCTTGGCATATCCGGACGACATTCCAACCAACTGAGCTGCCCCATATGCCAGAGGAGCCCTTCCCTAATTTAGATGGTATTACTGCCAGGTCTAGCTATTCCCCTTAAAACGTGTTACGTGCGGATCTCTCTAAGCAAGGGCCTCCGGTCAGCACTACAGGGCAACGGGCCCACTCTGGAGCTCCGAGGTCCCTGGATCCCCAGGTGAGGAAGGCCTTCCCTTATCTGGTTGGTCAAGAGTTTGTTCAACAAACATTTACTAAGCACCTGTCCTGGAAACAAAGGTATGCATACTGGTGGTCCCTCCAGGTGCTGACAGTCTAGAGTAGCAGAAGGAAACAAACAGTAATTGTACAGGACGCCCACCAGCCTATGATGGAAGGAAGCACAGGGGCTGTGAGAGCACAGAGGAGAGGGCCCAGCCCCGGCCCCAGAATCAGGGAGCTTCCTCGAGACCTGGAGGGCAGGACAGAATCCTGAAGGATAAACAGGAGGTTGGTGGGGCAACATGGAGGAGAGGGAGTTCTAGGCACAGGAAACAGCATGTACAAAAGCTTGGAGAAAACACAACACTTACGAGAAACTAAATGCCCGAGGTTCCCAGTTCCCACCACATCCTGGCTCCAGGCTCCCCGGCACGGACACCTCGGTCACCCTCCTGGAGCGCTGATCCAAATTCTGGAAGTATCACCCTTTCCCCCTGGCACTTCCTGGGCCTGCCCAGGCTGCCTGATGCATATTTGCAGACCACATGTCAGGGCTGCTTCCACGCGGGATGCGGGGGCGGGGGGGGGGGAGACTCGGCTTCTTCACCTGAGGTTGGATTCAGTTCTCTGGGCCTGTGTCCAGTCCTGGTTGGGCAAAGTCACTGTGTCCTGCAGGGTCCCCCCAGAGCAGCCAGCTGGGGGTCTCCCCATTCCTCCGCTGAGGTCCCACCCTTCTTGCAGCTACCCCACCTCCTGGCCTGCTCTCTGATTCCAGTACAAGGCTCTGCCCCCTATGCCCTACTTGCCCTCCTGGTACTTGCCCTCCTGGCCAGCGGTCCCCTCCCACTTATCCTGCATCCTCAGGTTGGCCTCCCAAAGTTCTTATTCTCTATTTTACACAAAGAAAATGCTTTCTATGACCTGTAGCTGAAAGGGCCCATATTCTCTCTCATACTTCTGCCTGTCCCATCTCTGCAATTCCATATCTCCTTTTCAAATATTTAATAAAATGCTCTGCTTTTTTATATCATAAAAGTAAATATGCAAACTATAAAATATTCAGAGAGAGGATAAAACTAGAGGAATAAAAATAATTATTTCCTAAATATTTAGAGGGCCCCTACTCTAGGTCCCTCCTCCTGAAAAGGAGGCATTATTACCATCTCCATTTCAAATTTGGAGACGCTCAAGCCTAAAGAGGTTGAGGAAGTTGCTTGAGGCACACAGCTGCTCAGCGCTGGGATTTCAGCCTGTGTTCTTTGAGTCCAGCACTTTGCCTACTCTCTCTACCTCTGCTCTCTCTCTCTCTCTCTCTCTCTCTCTCTCAAGTCTCTGCCCCCGATGCCCTACTTGCCCTCCTGGTACTATGCTGAGGCCTAAAACCAGACCCAGAACCATTCAAATTTGCATGATGATTTCCGTGTTTATACATGAGCAGGGGCCTCCCCAAGTCCCCTGAAGAGTTTGGATTAACTCAACTCAGGAAAACCAAGGTTGGGATGGTGGCAGGAGAGAGAGCGCAACATTTCTGTCTCTGCCCACTCACCACTCCACCTCCCAACCCTCACCCCACCACCCAACTTCTGGCCTCCATCCTTCTACATTCCAGGACTGCACCAGGATCTAGATGTGTGGCCTTAGGGACAGAAAAGTCTGCACCGACTTGGTCTCCATCCTTCATTGCCTGGGGGAGGAAGCAGTGACTAGAGAAAGGCTGGCCTGGAGACTCTCCCTTACCCTCCTGTCTTCCCATCCCAGGCCAGCCCTGGGGCAGGGGCAGGGCCTGGGGAGGGAGAGCGTGAATCTACCACCTTTGAGTCATCAAGGCCCTGGTCCAGTGCTACATAGAGACTGCCCGGGGGGGTTCGAGGTTGGTTGCTCACCTCCGAGCCTTCCCTATTTCTGTTCCTTGCTGGCTGGGATAAATGCACCACACCCAGACTCACACCCCTTATCCATCCTGCAGTCATATGTGGCCCCATCCTACCTGCACTTAGAAACCACAGCCTGCACAGTGTGGCCCCTTGCACTCAATTACCCTCTGAACCACTTATTTATTCTTTTTTTTTTTCTTCAAAAATATATTTTATTGATTTTTTACAGAGAAGAAGGGAGAGGGATAGAGAGCCAGAAACGTCGATGAGAGAGATTGATCAGCTGCCTCCTGCACGCCCCCCAGTGGGGATGTGCCCGCAACCAAGGTACATGCCCTTGACCAGAATTGAACCTGGGACCCCTGAGTCTGCAGGCCGACGCTCTATCCACTGAGCCAAACCGGTTCGGCTATTCTTTTTTTTTTTTTTTTTTAATGTAGTTTTATTGATTTCAGAGAGGAAGGGAGAGGGAGAGAGATATGGAAACATCAATGATGAGAATCATTGACTGGCTGCCTCCTGCACGCCCCCCACTGGGGACCGAGCCTGCAACCCCAGCATGTGCCCTTGACCAGAATTGAACCCAGGACTTTTCAGTCTGCAGGCCAACACTCTATCCACTGAGCCAAACTGGGGAAGGCTATTTATTCTTTTCATTTCATTTATGTGTTCACTTATGCTCACCTATCCCTTAGTCGTTTTACTCATATACTTAGTTCATTAGTCATTCACTTATTCATTCACTAGAGGCCCAGTGCACAAAAATTCGTGCACCTGTGGGGGAGGTCCCTCAGCGCGGCCTGCACCTTCTCGCAGTTTGAGACCCCTTGGGGGATGTCTACTTGCCAGTTTAGGCCCGCTCCCTGGGGGATTGGGCCTAAGCTGGCAGTCAAACATCCCTCTGGCAGCCCAGGAGCTCTTGGGGGATGTCTGACTAACGGCTTAGGCCCACTCCCCACAGGGACATCCTTAGCGCTGCCACGGATCCCAGATCCCGCTGCCACCACTGCTGTGCTGGCCAGCAATGAGCTGGCTTCTGACTGAGCAGTGCTCCCTCTGTGAAGTGCACTGACCACCAGGGGGTAGCTCCAGCATTGAGTGTCTTTCCCGGTGGTCAGTGCACGTCATAGCAACTGCTGTTAGGGTCAATTTGCATATTATCCTTTTATTATATAGGATTCAATCAACATTCATAGCCATGCCCCCTTTGCCCCAGGCCCTGTCTTGGAGGGAGGGGGACCATAGAGCAGGGACACATAGGAAGCTTTCAGTCTGGTGAGGAAGATAAACCATCTTATTAGGCAGAAGGTGCTTCGCTAAGAGAGACACAAACTGCAGTGGGACCCAAAGGAGAGAAGGAGCCTACCATTTGAGAGGCTCACGGGAAGGAAGAGGGACAGCATACCAGAAGTTGAGAAAGAGGAGGTGGAATCTGAACTGGACCCTGACGATGGCTACATGTGGACAGGTGCAGATGGGGAAGAGAGCTGACAGGGCAGATGCACAAATCTCTACCTGTTAAACACTTTCTGGCTCTTGATCCTGTCCCTGGACCACAGACTTTCCTTCTTTGTATCTTCTAAACTCACCACCACCTAGCCCCACTCATATTCATCTGCCCCAGACTCCACCTACCTACTAGACCCCCTTCAGAGAGAAAGGGAAAGGGAGAGAGGAATAGAAACATCAATCTCATTTCTCCCCCAGGAGCCTCAAGCATGATGTCCCCTGGGGTTCTGTGGAGGGTAGAAGTGGTACAAGGCAGGTTCATCTTCTGAAGGACTTCCCATCAATACTCCCCCCGCCCCATCCTCCCACAGACCTGGGCCACAGACTGACAGGCTGACCGAGACTGTCTCTTGACCGCAAAGTGAGGTAGCTGGTGTGCAGTGGACTCTGGCAGAGGAAGGGTCACCCGAGTGTGCAACAGCTTCCAAAACCTGGGGCCTCCCAACCCTGAGACCCCAGAGCTGACAGTGCCAGGGATTGCGGGGACCCAGGCATCTTTAGAAACTGGGCTTCAAGATGCTGGAGGAGGTGGGTCTCCAGCACCCGGAAAGTCTGGTCCCTCCCCCACCCCCCCACCTCCAGCTCATGTGCTGGTGCATAAGCAGCAAGAGTCAGAGGGGGCTGGGGACCTGCCCAGGAGGAAGATCTGGGAACCAAGGAGGGTTCTTGCTGCAGTGGGAGGGCTCCTTCTGTGGCTGACAGCTACATGCTGAGGATGGGGGTCATCTTGTAGGAGCTGCACTGCTTTCCTCACCTCAATAAGGTTTCTGTTCAGGATGTCAGATACCTCCAGAGTGTGTGAGAATCGCTGTCTCATGTTTTATGACCCCTTCCCTCCCCCAAACAGACCCTTGTGGGAGCAGGGCAGAGAGAAATGGCTTGCTCTGGGGCCTCAAGTATCTTGGGCTTAGGATCCTACCTTGAGTTCCTTCAGCTCTTTAGTGCAAAGAGTTCTGGACTGTGAGGCAGGGGGCCTGGTTTCAACACTAACTCCTGACCTTGAGCAAGTCGCTTTCCTCCTTGGCTTTGCCTTCCTCGTCTGACGAATGAGCCGAGGAATCCATCTGTCCCCTTCCTGCCTTCAGGATGTTGAAAGGAACCTCGGGCTGTTAAAGCTTCTGGGTGTGACAGGGTCTGCACAGGGGACCATGTCTAATAGAGAGAAAGAAGTCATTCTTTTAAGTCCCTCCGTCCTGCAAGGCCAGAGCAGGGCAGATGGTCCAGTCTCATGGAATAAACTGATCATGAGATTCGATGTCACCACACTCCAACACTGTTTAATCAAGAGGTCATCACAGCACTACCTTTACTTGTCCCCGGGAGTCTCCACCCTTCCATGGCCTCAGATTCCCCCACATCGTGGTTGGGGAGATGGCTTCTAGGGCTGGGTCTGAAACCATGTCCTTGCTTCTGGAGGCTGCTCGAAGGCCCCCTTCTTCATAGGAAGGTCAACAGTTCACAGGACTCCTAAGTGGTAGGCACTGAACTTTCAAGGGCCCAGCTCCCGAGAGCTGGAACCCCATGGAGGCCAAGTGTAGGGTCTTCCAGGAGAGCAGAGAGAAGGCCCTGTTGGACAGTGGGTCTGGCTGCCCCCCCTGCTGGAGAGAGAAGAAAAGAAGGTGAGGGGCCAGTAGGGCCGGGAGGAGTCAAAGCAGCGGAGGGAGGGGAAGGAGGGCAACTCACTTGGTGCAGACATACAGCCCCGCCTCTTCTCCCCTGGAATAGACAGCGTGGTGAGCCTTCATGTAGACAGACCCTCACACCCCAAACGCCCCTTCCCACCAGGCTCTGGCACTGGCCGTTCCCCTTCTCAGTCCATCTTTCCCTTCCCCTAAATGCAAACTTCTGGCTTCCTTTCCTCCTCCTTACCCCAGGAAATCTTCCCAGATAGCCTATCCATCCCTGCTCCCTGCCTAGCCCCAGTCACTGCTCCACTCTGTCCCTGCCTCCCCACTTGGGAATAGCACAGATGTATCCTGTGGACCCGTTAAGCCCAGGGCCTCCTGAGATCCAAAGCAGCGTTCCTGTCACTTCCCTCTCCTTGCTGATCCCCTGGACTGGGCTCTTTTGCTCTATTAGACTCTATAGCACATGGAACCTTTTGAGCACATTTACAGAATCATTTGAGACTATGCACAGATCTGGAAAACACTGACAGGACCTTCTAAGAGCTGGTAGGACCTAAGTCACGGAGAACCGTAACTGCAGCTGACTTCCACCTTAACCAACTAGATCTCCTGAAGGTCCTGGGGATCGATAGGGACATCTTGGCTTATTTCACCCTCTTTGCCAGTCCTGCTTCCCTCATGCACAGCTCACCACCCAGATAGGCGCAGTTAAAGTGGCTGCAGGTCTTATTTTGGCTCCAGAGAGTCACTAGGCTCCGGGCTCCATCTTGGGAGAACCTGGTGACCAAGAAGACTTCGTGGGGAGGGATCAGCACCTCGCGCTCCTTGGGAAAAACAGACAGGGCCTCGATGGGGGCCCCAAAACAAGTCCTTAGGGAGAAGAAGGTGGCATTACCAAACCTGAGGGCCACTGCCTCATCCAGGGAGCTGGAGGCAAACTGGCCCAAGCGGATAGAGTCCCCCAACCTCTTGGGTTCAAAGCGAAGGGTGCCTACACCTCGGAACACCACCTGCCCGGGTCCCCTGCTGCAGCCCTTGCTCCCCTGTAGCAACTGCAGGGCCCGGGTCAGGTAGAAATGCAGGGCCTTGAAGGGGAAGTGCCTCATGTAGTACTCCCGGGAGACACCGCCTGTCTGCACCGCCTGGTTCAGCTCCCAGTACAGGTTGTTAGAGGAGTTGGTGTAGACCATGATGGCGATTCCATGCTGGGATTTGAAGCCAGGGGGCAGTGTGAGCCCTCGCTGCTTCTGCTCCCAGGCCTCCTGGGCTGCCTCCCAGGATTCCCGCAGCAGCGCATGGCGGGCCATCTCCTCCTTCAGCAGAAGGGCTGCCTTCTCCTCCATCTCCTCTGCGCAGCCCACATAGGCATCATCGAAGGTGTCTGGAGCCAGGCCCAGGAGCAGGATGGGAACAGCCTGGGCCTAATGTGGTAAGGAAGAGAGGAGCCACACAGGAAAGGGTATAAATTCAGCGCATTGGACAGGGACCTGGTGGCAGATCAGTTCGGAGACACAAAATCTCATTTTTCATGCCCAAATATCTGGTGTATACAATTTGGCAGGAGCCCAAGGGCTTAAATAACACAGGCACTGGAGTCAGAGATGGCTTCATCACCTACTAGCTGTGGGATCTTGGCCAGTCTCTTAACTCTTCCGGGCTTCAGGTTCTCCACCTATAAATGCATACTGCCAACCCCATTGGGCTATCATGAGGCTACAACCAAAAAGGGGCCATCTTGTCATTAAAGAGGTCCCCACACTCAGAGGGAAGGGGGGCTAGCTGGCTTCCAAGCGCTGTTCTGGCTCTAAGACTCAGTGTGCAGATGATGCACAGATGTGCCACTGTGTCCCAATTACCTGACCCCGCCCCCTCCTCAGACTCTCCCATGCAGTGCTCAGCCACCACACCAAATCCCTGTCAGCTCTGAGACTCCGAGTGTTCTCCCGCGGCCACCCCCAGACCTGGGGACGGGTGGGGAGGAGCCCTGGTCCCGGGGTGGCCCAACCCACTTTGCCTAGCCTGAGCCTGAGACGGGAAATTGGGGGTGAGGAAGTTAGAGGCCGTTCCTAGGGAGGGATGAGTATGAGGGAAGGAGGATCACAGGAGGACCAGTGGGTGAAGATGGGGGTTCTGGTAGAGGCAATGGGAACTGGGGGCTCCCTGCAGGGAGGAAGGCTGCAGAGAGGAAGAGGATTAAGAGGACGGGGGTCTTAGAGAACAGCCCCTGGGAGAGATTTTTGAGGAGTTCGCCCCCCAGCTCTTTCCTTTGTGGCGGGGGATGGTTCCCCCAGTTACCTGCCAGAAGGCGTGAAGGCCCAGGCAGCTGAGGGTGAGCAGCAGAGCAGCCTGCATCATCTCTGGGGGAGACAGGAGAGCGAGGTCCGGAGGCGGGTGGGATCAGCGGCAGCGGTGGAGCCTTGGCGTCAGCGGGCTGGAGGAGACCCACACCGATTCTTCTGTGGTGTGAAGAGGGTCCAGGACGCGGGGCCCAGGGAGTGGGCAGGGCTTGGGGATTACTGTCTCCGCCCCCCACACCAGCACAGCCCCAAGTCTTGGCTCCTCCGACTCCCGGATGCCCCTACACTCCGTGCCTCGGCCTCGATAACTTTTTGCCGTGGTCCAGGTGATTTGACTCCACCTGGCGAGGGGCGGGGCAGGGACCTGGCACCCACCTGGAGGTCACGGAGGCCGAGAGAGCGGGAAGGTGTGGTCAGGCCAGCGGGTGCCGGTCGGTCGGTGTCTGGACGGGCCGGGCCGGGCCGGTCTCGGGAACCCAGCGGACCCGCTGAGTCCCACAGCTAACTATAGCCCCCGGGCAGTAACCCAACACCTCTCTTGCCCAACGACAGACGCAGTGGCCGAGGGAGCAGGAGGGGCGAGGAAGGGGCTGAACGGCTGACTCCCCTCCCCAAACTGCGAGTTCTTTCTCCAGGTCCCTCTTTGGCTCCACACAATTCCAGGGCTGGGGGAGGGAGCTGGTGAGACTTGGCCTCTCCCTCAGGGGTGCCTAACCCGGTAGCCAGACCCTTAGGCCTGGGAACCCAACGAGGGCCGCCCCCCTCCCCCGCCCCCCTCACCCCGCAGGTCAGCATTTGCGTACTCGCTGATTTGCATGTAATTTGCATATGGTTCACTCTTCAGGGCCCCCACCCCTCCCTTCTCTTCATCCCCTTCTCTGTCAATGGCGTTGGACCAGATGCAGAGCTCTCAGTTTCAGATCCTCAAGGTCCAGCCCGACCCCCGCCCAGACCCGTGTTTATAAACACTGGCCTTTCCCCTCCCCTACTGTGGGCCAGTCTATAAATAACCTGGCTCTGAGCTTCGGATGCCCAGTCAGAGGGAATGGGGGAACGGGACAGCCGAGGAATCAGTAAGCAGCTCTGGGAAGAACTTTCTGAGGGCCTGAGCCTCTGGGGTGAGAGAGGTAGCCCCCAGAATGGCCAGAGGAGTTGGGGTTCCTGTCAGGACTGAAGACTCTGTCCACTTCCTGCTGGGGCTGAGGTGGGCATGGAGATTAGATTTACCCCAGGCTTCCATCCTAGTCTGGCTCATTAGTTTAGTTAGCCCCATCCCTATTCCCCATCCCCTCAGATACTAACCAAATAAAAAATTTCCTTCACCTCGAATCCTGCTTTTTCCAAAAAGCCTTTCTATAGACTAATAAGGAAGGTGAACTGTGTTTGGGCTTGGGTGAAGGTGGGAGGTGGAAAGAGTGGCATTTCAGCCCAGCTGGCGTGGCTCAGCAGTTGAGCATCGACCTATGAACCAGGAGGTCACGATTCAATTCCCAGTCAGGGCACATACCCGGGTTGCAGGCTTGGTCCCTGGTGGGGGGCATGCAGGAGGCAGCCAATCAATGATTCTCTCTCATCATTGATGTTTCTATCTCTCTCCTTTCCTCTCCAAAATAAAAAAAGAAAAGAAAAGAAAAAAGAGTGGCATCCCAAAAAGCAAGAATGCTTGTCAGGCAAGCAGCTTCAAGACAAGTCCTTCTGCCCCTCCAAAGAGACTGGCCACACCCAAGGTCCCCTTGATTAGAAGAAAATCAGAAGCCACTCTACTGTTCAGTATTACTGTGAAAAGCAGCATCTGCTTCCATACCCTGCCTGGAGGGACTGGAGCGTTTGCTGTTGCTGGAACAGAAGATACTGTCAGGGACAGAAGGCCTGCTGAGACCGTTCCTGGGAACAGGTCTAATGGGATCATGGCTTTGTCCTCTCTCCACCCTCTGGCTTTGGGGAATTGTTCCCAAGACTTGGAAACCCAAGAAAGGCCCCAAGAGATGGAGTCAAATCGAGCCATTGAACAGGTCCAGAGTGAGGCAGGAAGTCCTCCAAGATTACATGGCAAATCGGCGCTGGAGCTGGGACCCAGACCAGCCTTCTTGATCTGGGAATCTCTCCTTCACCTTAGGTGAGTCTCCATGCTCACCCGAAAGGAACAAACCTGAGGAGATGTTCTCTGAGGCCAGGGGTGCTGAGCCAGGACCAAATCCAGGCAGGAGGCCGTTGTTCCAGCCTGGAGCCTCCATGCCCCTGCCCACCATGTCTCTAGCTTCAGGGATTCCCTTTTTTTATGAGGAGAGCACTGGCCCAGGGCAGACTGGGCAGAGGCTAGTGTTCCTGAGCCTGGAGGAGATATCCAGAAATAGATGGGGGGGTGTCACCTTTCTGAGCAGCTGTGTGGGGGAGGTACAGTATAAAGGAGGAACCTGCCCTCCCCCTCCCCCGGCGGCCATCACAGGAGACCAACACCAGCTTCCCTGCCCTGGAGAAGCCCTAGGTAAGGGGCACACCACCCTTTCCTGGCACTGGGCAGGGTATTTTTTAGGGGAAATTTGGGGTATTAATGGTGGAATCATTAGGACAAGTTTTAGGGAGTCTTTTACCTTAGTCTGCTGTATCTGTATCTCCTACTTCTGAAGGCTGGAAGTCCAAGGTCAGGGTGCTAGCACCGTCAGGTGAAGGCTCCCTTCCTGGATCACAGCCCATACCTTTTCACTGTGCTCACAGGGTGGAAGGGAGCTCTGTAGGGGTCTCTTTTATTAGAACACTAATCCCATTCAAGTAGGCTCCACCCTCAGGAACTAATCACCTCCCAAAGGCTCCACCTTCTAATACCATCGCACAGACATTAGGATTCCAACATGTGAATTTTGGGGGGGACACAACATTCAGGCCATAGTACCTTTGGTAGAGAAGTTTGGGGCCACTGGGGAATTTGGGGATTCCTGGGGAGACATTTGAACTCACATCCCCAGAGAGGATTGTTCAGCGAGGGCCTGAATATAGGGAAACTGACAAGAAGTGTTCTGAGCAGATGAGGACAGAAGGGCAGCTGGGATATGAAAAGGGGCTGCCTGGTGCCTCCACTTCCTCGACTCCAAGCCTCCCAGTTACTCTGGCCCCCACTCCATTTGCCCACAACACTGGTCCCCAAAGTCATTGATCCACCTGCTTGCAGTGGTCTGCCTTGCTAATTGCACCCAGAGATCCTCTCAGATTCTCAGCAAATATTCCGGGAGGCCTCACCTGGGCCTAGCCTTGGGCTGACCTCTGGGGACCAAGAATGGATCATAAGGGTCCCTGCCCTCAGACACCTGAGAGCAGCACTGTATGATCAGGATGGACACAGAAAACCATGGGGTGATACAGGAGCCCAGAGGGCTTCCTGGAGGAGGTGACCCTTGAGCTAAGCCTGGAAAAGTGAGTAGCAAAGGAAGGGCATTCCCAGCAAATGGCAGTGTGTCAGAGCCACGGAGAGGAAAATAGCAGAGCCTTGCCTGCAACTTTGTTCTGT